TTGGAAACCGACTATATCGATTTTCGGCATCGGGGTTGGTCAAAAACCGATACTGACCGATCGATGCTCACCCATAATTTCGATGATATGATAATGGGTTATAGCAATTAGAAGATCATGATAGAGAATCAGAAAAATTATATACTCTATTTAACACTTAAAATTTCCCACCGGAAGAGTTACAATTATGAGGGATCATATGCCACTTTGAAGCCTCCAAAACTTCATCATTCCATACAAATAAAGCCGTAGATAAACCCAAGGTAGTCAAGGACATGATGTGGATTTAGACTTGACATTAATGCATCCCAATTAGTTATGCATCCTAAATCTAACTCTATATCTAACTCTATGAACAACCTCTTATGAGTGTAAGATTTCAAATCTAATATCAATCAATCCATGGCTAGTAGATTAAAGACATTAAGTATAGAGATATATAAATATAATATTTATAATCATTCAATCAAGAGAATGAAACAATCGATCCATAAAGTTCAATGGCTACATCAATCACTAAAACCAAGGAACTTAGCTACTCATACTAAATAAGCAATAAAATCCAAAAGAAAGTTGCATTACAAAACAAGAAAAATCAAGAGAAAGGAGAAAAATTAATTTTCATGTGTTGATTAATCGTCTTCGAGCCAATCTCCACGATTCCGAGTCTAAGCTCCTTGATGCTCGATGCTCATTTTCTCTCTATTTTCAAGTTATCTCATGTCTCTCCCCCAAAAGTGTGTCAAAAGTTCCCAATGACTGTTGAAAAATCTAAATTACAAGGGAAACAATCGCGATAGTGCCATGGTGCTGCAAGGTGGGTAGAAGAGAAGTTCGAAGCGCCACGGGGTTGTGGTTGGCGCATAGGCGTTGCCCTCTCGGGTCAAAAACCAACTTCTATTGTTTTATGGTGCAAGTGTTGTAATGCATTCTTTACTCGCTCATACTATGATTTCCATCTCAATTTGATCAATTTATGTCTTGTTTTCTCTCGATTATTCGTTTCTGCAAAATATATTATGTGTTTAAATATTTTATAAAGAAAAAAAACTAACAAATAATTTCAATATAAATTGTTATACCTCCTATTAAATGTGTACATGAGAAAGACTTGTATCTCTTAATCTCATACAATTATTGATGAAGGGTTAATTATTTTTATTATCCAATAATCTCTTTCCCCAATCCCTTCAATCCTGCATTTGTCAGATCTCCTTTTTCCATTAAATTCTCAGCCAAAATCCTTAGATCCACCGCCTTTCTCACTTTCAAGCCGTAATCCTAGCCGAGCTTGTTGACGTCTCGCGGATTCCAACTCCTATGAAGGGGAAGGACTCGTCGTCAAAGTAATCGAACAGACGGGGATTTTGGAGGCGTGAATGAGTTGAAAAATGAGGCATTGGTGATCAGAGCAGAGTTACAATGTGGTGACAGGATTTTCGTAAGGGCGATTGGGGATTGGGGATTGGGGTTAGGGAAGGCGGAGGAGTGAAGAAAGAGAAAGAGAGGAGAGAGAATAAGAAATGGGAAAAAATCACATCTAATTTAAAGATTAAATAAATATTAAAATTTTCAAATGACATGTGAGCTTTCCGTTAGTGACATTAACGGAAGTTTGACTCCGTGTGCCTTTTAGAATTATTTTCTAAATGCCGGGGATCAAATAATCGCTTTTTGAAACTTAGGAATCAAATAGAAACTGAATCTCAAACTAAGGGATTAAAAATGTATTTTACCCGAAATTTTAATAGAAAAGTTGAAATCATTTGTTTTAACCAAAAAATTGATTAAAACATTAAAATCTTTAAGAACAATCGAAGATAGTTGGTGATCCTGCAAAACAAGGAGATAGCATTTCGAAGCTCTTGTCAGTACTGGATTCTCAAATGCAAAATCTAAAAAATAGAAATGTTTGTGTACCTACATGTAATCTTTAGGTATTTATTTGAAAAGCTAGATAATAGTTGAGGTCAGGAACGTGAAATATGCTTTGAGGTAGAGATACAGTTAAACGGTTACCATTCGAATGTTTGAGATTTGGTTTGGTAACCATGTTGTAGAGCAGTTCAAAATTCGATAGTTCAACTGTCACTATTTCTGAACTTACCTCGTGGTAATTACGCGCGAAATCAGATTGTCGACCTGATGATGATATGTCTTCTAGTGAAATTCGCATTCATCATGGGTAACGATATAATTTTCAGTTGGTCTCTTCATAAACAGCTAGACTCGAGACAAAAGTGAAAATATTTATAATGTTAGATATTTTAAGAATTAGATCTCAAAATCGACTAGTTATGTACTTGTCACCGAGATTATTGAAAGCAACTTTATTCATTCAAAAAAATAGAAATTCTTTTGGAATTACCGGCAACTGCAGCAAGAGAATAATAGAAGCAACTTCCTTCTATGGCAGAATCTAGTCCTTCCAATATAAGTTGTTTGATTATCTCATGGTAGCAAAACCTTGTCCATCTATGTTTCTTTCTCAGACTGATGGAGGCACCAGTGCTAAAAAGAAAATCTATAATAATCTTTAAAAGAGAGAGTTCATTCATTGAGAAAGTACAATTGCAAGTTCATTCGAAGATATCAATATTTATGTGTTCTGTCTCAAAACTAATTAACAACGAGAGGAGTAGTTCATGTCTATTACAAACTTTCGTAAGGTTCCTCGTTCTTTTCATTCCTTAACATCTCTTGTTCTTTCGGCTCATCAATTTTGATTGAATCTCATTTTTTTGACTGAATGTGTTAAGAATTTGTGACTTTGTATTAGTTTATTTGTTAGTATTTCCACATTATACTTGGTAGTTAATTTCATAGTTGGTAATTAACTAAGTTAGTGGATAAGTGGAGCTGTATGTTGGGAGACTTTGTAGGTTAGTGGCTTAGTGGAGTTACGGTGTTGGTTAGAGAGAAATTTAAGGGTAGTGGTATGTTTAGTGAGTTAATGGTCGGTTTTCCTATTTCACTATAAATGCTTGTAACAATTATCAATTCAATGAATAGAAGTTCTTCCTTCGTAAAGTTTCTCTGTTGCTTTCGCTTTGTTCATCTTCGTTTTCGTTACAGAATGTTCGTTTAAGTTTTTAGACTCTCGTAATGAAGAGAGAGGATTAAGAAAGTACAACTACAAGTCTATTTGAAGACCTACAAAATACTGAGTAAAAGAGAACTTAATAACAAAATAACTAACTAATACCAAATATAACAGTACTAAGGAAACGATAATTAATTTACAATTTTTTCACATAATAAAATCAACCATCTCCTATCCTACTTTGAATGACCGAAAATGTGATGGTTAGATTTGTTTTTTAAAACCGTTTTGAATTCTCTAAATCAAATAGTGAGAAAATTTTGAAAATAACATTTTTTTTTATGCTTTCAAATTTATATCTAAATACTTTAAAATGCATAATTATATTAAAAAAGATAAAAATTTTAATAAATATAATATTTCATGTTATAAACTTATTTGATTTTTGTTAAATTAAAACATGAAAAATATAATATATTATAAATTATATAATATTGTAAAATAATAATTTTACAAAATTTATAACATTTATGTCAATGTTAATTAGTAATATTTTAGATCGAATTAAATATTTAGTTGGTAACCACTCATGATTTACAAATATATTATAAAACTACTTTAATAAAAAAAATTTAAAATTAAAATTCAATTTTCAATTTGTTACTAAATACATATCCCAAAACATAGAATACAACTTTGTTTTCATTGAATTTTTGGTTTATTTTTGTTTTCACATGACCAATCAAATGCACCCCTAGTGAACGGGGTT